GGTTGTCGTTATCGTGTTTTTAAAAAAAAAAAAATCTTTACATCTCTTTTACTAGAATTAATAATAATAATCAACAAATCATATATATATTTTTTTTTTCAAAAAAAAAATGTCGACAATACAAAAAATTCTGAATAGTATCTTTAAACGAGAACGAGATAACTCAAATACTCATTCTATACAAAATAAAAATAAAAACAATAATAATAATAACAACAAACACAACAACAACAATAATAATAATAATAAAACGGAAAATAAAAATTCACCAAATTTACGAGTTACAGAAGATAATAATATATCAAATCGAAAAACGAAACGAGAATATTTACCTAAAGAACCATCATTATTAGAAAAACATTATAGTGTATCAAAAAAGGTTCTCGGAAGAGGATCATTTGCGGTAGTAAAGGAATGCACAGATAGACGTACCGGAGTTAATTATGCCTTGAAAATTATTTTGAAAAAAGGCTTAAAAGGTAAATATGATAATAATAATTTACTAAAAAAAATTATGATAATAATAATTACTAATACTAATAATAATTTATCTATTTATTATTATTATATTCATTAGGCAAAGAACAAATGTTAACTACAGAATTGGATGTTTTGAAACAAGTAAATCATCCAAATATTGTCTCATTACATGATCTTTACGAAACCAAAGATGCGGTCTATATTATTACCGACTTGGCACTTGGTGGTGAATTATATAATCAATTACTACAAAGAGGAAGTTATACCGAAAAGGATGCAGCAAATTTAATTGAACAGGTTTTATCAGGAGTTAAATATTTACACGATCGTGATGTAAGTTATCTTATTTATTTATTTATTTACTTACTTTATTATTATTTATTTACTATTTACTATTTACTTACTTTACCTTATTATTTTTACTTTTTATTTTATTTATAGATCGCTCATCGTGATTTAAAACCAGAGAATCTATTATTTAGTGATAAATCCGAGTTCTCAACATTAAAGATTACCGATTTTGGTCTATCGAAAATATTAAAACATCATGATGATATTTTGATGACAGCTTGTGGTACACCAGGATATGTGGCACCAGAAGTATTAACCCAAAATGGATATGGAAAATCTGTAGATATTTGGAGTATTGGAGTAATCCTTTATACAGTTTTATGTGGATATACACCATTTTGGGGGGAAAATCAAAAAGCATTATTTGACAGTATATTAAAAGGTGTATATCATTTTGATGAAGATTATTGGTCAGACATAAGTGATGAAGCGAAAGATTTAATTAATAAAATGTTAGAATATAATCCTGATAAAAGAATTACTGCTCATGATGCACTTCAACATCCATGGTTTAAATGTGATGGATTGAATGACGAAGAATTAAAGGATGACGAATTAAATGATGAATTCAATAATGAATTTAATCATTATAATTGGAAACCATATAATAATAATAATAATAATAATAATAGTAATAAATCTGTCTTGAAGAAAGCTATTAATGTTATACAGGGTGTAACACGAATGAGAAAACTTAATGATAAACAATCACATCCATCACAACAATATATTAATAATTATGATAAGGTGAATAGGATAAATTTAGTAAATATAATAAATTTGGTAAATAGTGTTCAAGGTGAAATAGGAATAATAACAGAAAGTGAATTTAATGATGATAATAATCGCAATAATCATCATCATCAATTACAAGCATTAGGTTCATCAGAATTATTTGGTCATATAGAGAATGAAATAATTGATGAATATACTAAAGATGTAAATGATGAAAAAATGGAGACAAATAAAATATTAATTAATACAAATTCCATATGGTCAAGTGAAGGTAGTGAAAGTGATATTTCATCTATTTATAGCATTTCTACTACAAGTTTATCTCTTACACCTAGTATACCGAATATACCATAATTATATAGCATTAGTTATAAATAAAAAAAATTATAAACAATATATGAACAATATATAGATTATATATTTGATACTAAAAATAATTAATATAAATTGTATAAAAAATATTTATATATATATATATAAAGAAAAAAAATAACATATACACAATACATAGAACATTAACATATCTACTTTGTATATTATATTCAACATTATAAACATTTTAAAATAAAATTATAGTTATTCCCAAATTTATGTCAGATTTGTTCAGATTTATTTTTAAACTATAAAATAAATAAATAAATAAATAAATAAAACGAAAATATGATTAAACAATAATCAATCAATAATTATTTACTTGTTCAAATTCTTCAGGGTGTGCCGATAATTCCTTTTGGATTAATTCTCTACGTTGTCCAAGTCTGCGCTTTCGTCTTAATTCTGCTCCAGCAAATAATTCTTTTTCTTGTTCATCATCAGGAATAGCTCGAGGAACTGGTGTTGGTGAATTTTCGAAATCAACGGCAACTATAATAAAATAAAATAAAATAAAAAAATAAATAAAATAAAAAATAAAAATAAAAAATAATAATTAAAAATAATAATTAAATTATAACAGTATAATTTATCTACCCATTGTAAAAAATCCATCATTTGCGAAAAACCTTTCACCAGTCATCAAATTCTCTAAATAATAAAAATTAATAATAACAAAAATAATTAATAAATAATTAATAAAAAATAATTAACGATAAATAATTAATAAAAATAATTAATAATTAATTAATAATTAATAAATAATTAATAAATAATTAATAAATAATTAATAAATATAATATAATTAATAAATAATTAAAAATAAAATAAATTACCAGCTTCTACAGAACAATAAACTTCTAGACTGGAATGAAATGTGCATGATACAACAGAGCGAACTGTAACGCCTAAAGAGTGAGGAAAAAAATAGAAAGAATGAAGAAAGAATAGAGAAAGGAATAAAAAATTATTTTAAAGAAATGAAATAACCACTAACCACAAAAAATTTAAAAATTCTTACAATCACCCACATAAGTTGGTTTAATAAATTGTAAAGAATCAATACTAAATACATAAATTTTAGATGTTATAAATATTAAATAAGGTAAATAATGAATAATA